GACAGGAATAAGGAGCAGACTGAAGTCCCCATAATTCAAGGGGAAATAGTCAGTGACTTGCTACACCACTTAGATACACATATTGCGTGAGGGGACATGGTTTAGTGGTGGACTTGGCAGTGCTGGATTAATGGTTGGATTTGATAATCCTAAAGGTCTTTTCCAATCTAAACAATTCTATGATTCTTTGAAAACCTCTAAGATTGCAGAGCAAAGTCTGGCTTCTGGAGCTGTCAGAGCTTCTGCATGGCCTGACCCTACTACAGACCTTAAAGAGATAAAATGGGAGCAGTTTCCTCCTCTGCTGCCATCCCTGCTTGATGTGCCAGCTCGGACATGGAGCTGCACAGAACTCAGGAGTCTCCAGGAGAAGAGATTCCCACCTCTCTCTGTGAGGGCTGCAGGTAGCAAGCAGCCAGCCCTCCAGGGCCAGCTCTGGTGAAGCAAAGCCCTCACAGCTGGTAAAGTCTGGCAGCCTTGTTCTTCACCATCAGTGCGCCCGAAGCACTATCAGCTCCCGTGGCCTGCAGGTAATGTGCTCTGTCAGACGAGACTTCTGGGATGACTCCCTCGAGCAGTGTGTCAGAGATGCTGCCTGTGTGGTCAGAGGTGCTGCCTGCCTCCCCTACCTCAATACACCCCCTGTTATCCTACTCCAGCCAAAATATATATGAGACCATCCCAATCCTGCCTTATCCCACTTGGATCAGCCTCAGGCAGTCCTCAGCTCTACTCTGACTTACCCTGGCTATGCAGGATGGCAGGGACACAAAACCAGCTAGGGAAGCTCAACCATGGGCAAGGCAACAACAGGTTTATCTGTAATTACATTTTCCAGCTGCATACAGAATGAAAAGTCACACACATTTTAATACAGTCTAGTAACAATCACTCTATGAATCTAAACTATTTAATAGGAAATTATCCTTTCCAGTAATTTTTTTAGCCATTCTAATATAACTTCTTTATTAGTAATATTTTATTAAATTTGGCAAGGTGATAACAAAAGGCCATAGAAAAGTATTCAGCTTTATTACAGTCTATAGTACTTTTCCATAAAGGTTAATATGGACTCACCATTCCTAATAATTAAATGGCAATACTTCTGCTGTGAATATTCAAACCTTATAGTCCTGCCCTTTCAAGAAAAATCCTTCGTTTTACATTATGTCCTACTCCACTCTTCTGTGGTTTTCCCCATCAATAAGGTACCTTCGAGAAATTTAGGGATATCTTCTCTTTCCTCCCCAAGTACTACTGGATGCACTACAGTAAAATACAAAATCAAATCTACTGATCAAGACAATTCGAAAGATGTCAACATATTTTGTTCTCTAACTATATATCCAAATCATCTCCACAATATTGGAGTCTTCTCTTGGAGCTGATAAGCCATTTAAAATGCATTATTCTGGTGACAGACAAGCTGGCATTTGCTACAAGCATTTTTATGATTCAGTAGTTTTCAGAGAGACTAGAAAACTAAGCAGTAAATTTACAGTATAACAAAATAAAAGCAGAGATCTCATCTGCCTGATGAACGACCAAAGCAGCTTTCATCTCCAGATTTTCACACAGTTTGCCTGAAGGTGGAGAACTTATTGTTTAGGATGTGATAATGGTGCCTTCAGGCTACAATAACATGGCATCTGCTGAAGACTGTACATATGCATGGGGTAAAGAGATTTTTAACTCTGGGGTAGTTTCCATCTAAGTGCATGTAAGTGTAATAAGTTTGAAAGAAAAAGGAGACCCAAGGTAAAGAGATGTGCTATAGGTATGTATATGGGCCCCAGCAGCTGTGCCTGGCTCTTTGGTAAGGGTGCCACAGCAGATGTGGGGCTTTTCAGAAGTAAATAAATTCAAGGGCAACTGCAGCTGAAAGGCCATTACAAACACAGAATTTGGCATCAACGGACAGGCAGATAGAGTATTCCTGGTTGCCTTATTCCTCAGCAAACAGATATTAGATAATGCCTCCTTCTTGGCCAAGCAATGAGTCAGTGGTTGAGACAAACAAGGAGCTACGGCCTCTTGACTTCCAGTCTCCATATGTGACCAACAGGTCAAACCAGCTGTCTTCACCCATGCACTGGAAAAGGACATAACACCTAACAGCATGAGTGCCTGTCTCTTGGCACCAAGGGCCACACTCAGACCACCTTCCACTAAGGCTTAACCAGGATGCTTTGTGCTAAAATGCCCTAGATGGTGAGAGTGATGGAAAACTCATACCGTCCCAGCATTCCCTTATTCTGCCTCTCCATCACCTCTAATCTTTCATGTCCCGCTGCTGGGGCCTAGAATCATAGACTTATAGAATGGTTAAGGTTGGAAAAGACCTTTAAGATCATCAAGTCCAACTGTTTCCTCTGTACTCTATCAAAAACCCCACAAATGTCAGGTCCTCCCTACAGAGCAAATGGCAACAAGGACACGAGGCACTGTCAGATCTGGACTACATACTAAGCCTTTCAAGGTCAGCAGGAATACTGGACAAAACCAGAGACTACATTTTCTATGCACAGACTTTTTGGTGCTTTCCATATGATTTTTAAACCATGAGTAATGTCAGCTTTCAAAGATTTGTCCTATATTTGAACCTTGCTCACAGTCACCCGCTTGCTTGGCTGTGAACATGATTTTAACAAAGCAATTTCAACCTCTTAGTTAATTTGTTTCTGAGGCCTTTCTCTTCCAGAGTGTGCAATTAAACTAAAAGAGCCTGGAAAAGCCCCTTATGGTAAATAATTTACAAGTTCCTCCCTGGGGACATTTTTTAATTATAACTCCACTGGTCAGATCTTACTGAATACTCTGAGATAGCATTCCCTGCTGAGATCCTGAAATATAATTAACTTATTCCTTCAGTAATGGTATTTTTCCTTAGCCTATCTATTTCTTATGCAGGGCAGGCAGATTTGTTTATAAACAAAGTGGGGATTGATAGACGCTTTGTCATGAGAACAGCAATAATGGCATTCGCTGCACCAGACGGGGGCACGTCCATTTGAGGAAAGATGATACTGTTTTGAAGCAATTTTTATAACTCCTACCCTGACAATCCAGCATGGAGAGAGACAAGAGAGCAACCAGACAGCCCCGATTTCTCTCTGTCTTGGCAGCCTGCCTTGCTCCCCGAGTGCCACTTCATGCATAGCAAACGTAAATAATCCTGCTGCACCCACCACCCCCCTAACCCTTCTGCTTCAGGAGCGCTGCTATATACTATCAAACTGACAGTGATTTCATGTTATGTGGCAAAAAGGAAAACCCTGAGCGACAGCAGCAAGGCTGGGGATGTCAAGTGAAAACTGTCACATTTATTTAGCTCCATGATTCTCCAGACAATATACATAAATATTGTTTTACTATCCCCACCAGCCAAATGTTAAGAGCTATTTGCATCAGCCAGGGTCCTGCAGCTCACCCAGCCTGGCCAATGAGTCTGTCATGATCAATTCTTGACTCAGGAGAGGCTGGCAAGAAACAAAGCACCAGCTCTTGTTCCAATGATACAGTACATTAAATAGTCTCCTCATCCTTTCCCACCGCAGATGTAGCCAAAAGGGCAGTTTGGAGTGAAAGTAGGAAATAATGGCTCAATGATGTATTGAAAAGTGATCTGAGACATAAGAAGTTTGTGGACACTCATTGCCCCATGTCCTGAAATCCTTCAAAGCTCACTTGCTTTTTCTATACCAATTAGTTCCAGCAACTCCAGTGAGCCCACAGGGACAAAGCTTGGTGCCTATCTGCAGCTGTGCTGGATGAGGGCCTGTATTTTGCATCCAAACTCTTGCTTTTTACTTTCCCCCCTCCTATTTTGAAGTCTCCCACAACAAAACCAAGTCCTCGTCTCTCTCTAAGCCCTTTGTTTCTGTACAGCTGTTAGTGCTGGCTCTGAAGCCTCTTCCCCATGTCCTGGCCTTTCCGTACACAGTGGTTCACCTGGTATCATCCACAGTGAAACACAAGCCAAGTAGTCCTTATTGTAATGAATAAATCACAGCTCAGACAGCAAGATCAAAAGCTGATCCAAAGGGCTGCAAAGTGTTGGACTTCATATATGCACTTAAAACACCCATCAGATGCGGGATCCAGGTTTCTGCTGTGACAAGCACTGGCTTCAGCATGGCTTTGTTGATGTCGATGGCAGGCCATGCCATATGGCAGTGCTGAGCCTAATGTGGTAGGTGAATTCAAACAGCCTTGAGACAAACCCAAAAACAGGTCTGCCACATGCAAAACTCTCCTCAGCTTTTTTTTTGCTGCTCTCCATATGACAACAGAAGTTTAGAAATGAAGAAGGGATTAAAATACTGCCAGGACAGGGATTGAGGGGGGAAAAAAAGGTCCAATTTTCTCATTATATTTATTCCCCAGAGGTCTGGAATGGTAAGACTCCGTCTCCTGTAAGGCAGCACAGCGGAGTACTCAGAGCTGAAAGGAGCTGGAGGACACTCCAATGCATCCACCAGCACCCAAACTGTCACCTCACCTTGTGCTTGCACAACCTTTTGTGCACCAGTGAACCCACCTTTCATTTGGTGGAGTGAAACAGTCTGACAAGGAACGGATGGAAGCCCAAGTCTGATCACCATAATTTTACTAAGCAGCCCATCTTGCAAGCTGCTACCAGCTGTCTTGCTCAGGCTGCAGCTTTCCTGTACACACTGGTGGGATGCCCAGCAGGCAAACACTGAAAGGATCTTCAGCCAGATGGACCTTGCTTAACACAGGATGGAGAAGCACCAGGGAGCACAGGCCGGAGAGACCTCAGTTGTTAAGCTTATGTTCACCCCAGAGCAAGAGGGTTTAATTAGTTACTGTATTAGCAAAATGGAAATAAAACTGAACACAAGCGTTCTGATGAAAAGGTTTGTACGTGCCATACACATGGTTTTGTTCACAAAAACACAAAGTCTTAAGGTCGTTCAGCTCTGCTGCTGGTCCTTGAGAATTCATGGATTTTTTAATGATGACACAGAGTAGTCTGGTGAAAATAAACGCACTGATTTATTGATTGAGGGAAGAGTTAAACATGCATAGAAAAGGTGAAATCGCACCGAGGAAGGAACACAAAATTCTGACAGTTTGATTGATCCTGACTGGAAATACTGTGTCCTATTGCTATGAGGACAGTGTGCAGAGAAAACTCACTATCTTCTTCCTGATTTCCATGATGGTCTGGAGAACCAGAGAACCTTCCACCCGAAAATTTATTCAGTCCATAAAACCTGCTCTCTGCAACTCTTAGCATGTCCTTATCACTTAACATAGCACCCAAAGTCCACACAGTATTCTGGGACATTACGAATGGCCCATGTACAAAATTAGACAACTTAAAGTAATTTTGAATATTATTTTACCAAAAAAAAAAAAAAGGAGCTGTTTCATTACAGAGGGAGAACTCATTGACCACATTTTAGACTACATTACAATCTTGTATTCAGTTAAAGAAAGAATCATATACCAAAGTTATGGACATAAGCCTTTTTCTAATAACAGATACTCCCTTTATTTTAAGACAACTACAAGGAGCCAAGTAAACAGCCAAAATTATTATATACACCAAAATTAATTATGGCTTTTTTCCAATCATCATTTTTTTCTCAGCTTACTCTAGGACTTATCTGGCAATTTCTTGTTTTGCTCATGGATGTACACAATATTTCAGTACTGAGAATTTTACCATAACAAGTATCTAATTCCAGAATGGATCAAGAACTGACATTAGTAGACATTTAACTTTTAAACTAGAATAATAAAACTGTTAAGTATCATGAAGCTTGTACCTCAACAATATTATAAGAAGAAATGGTCCCTTATGTATTAACAGTCACACATTCTTGTTTCTGTAGATTCTAGAATAAGAATTCACACCAGACATTTGCTAATTAGAAGCAAATCAATGTAATCCTCACTACTATTACCACATTTACAGTGGTTTTTGTTTTTTTTTTTTTCAAACACAAATAGTGTATTTTATTGTTCCCAAAGTCATATATGACAATTAAAAACCCCATGATTGATAGATCTGATGTCTTTGGTTGGCTGTTCTGAAGGTGGGTTGGTATCAAGACACTTTCAGGAGTCTTCATAAAGGATTTCATCTACTGGAACATCATTTTCTGTCACAGGCACTGATTCACAAACCTGTTCTCTAAAAGCCAAGGCAATCGTGTAAGGCTTTCCACTGGGATGTTTCATACATCTTTCAAGATAGGTATCGTAATATCCTTTCCCTCTTCCCAATCTGTTGCCTTTTTTGTCAAACCCAAGGCCTGGCATGAAGATAAGGTCAAGACCTCCTGTAGAAAAATGAAATAAACATTAGTGGATACCCTGTGGATTTCCTGATGGCTTGACTACAACCACATAACTTCAGACATTTGCAAAAACGGAAGCTTTGTGTTTTGCAAAATGCTTCCCTCTCTTTGATCAGATGAAAAATACTTTGAATACTAAACCTGTAAATTTACATTTTCATCTTATCAATTTCATACTAGATCAGCTGCAAAATAATTAGGTCTTGAAAACCTAGAAGAAAAAAACTCCTACATTTTAACAAATTTATTTTATCATTTTAACCCCACACATCCAAATACTAATGATTATGACTCTAAATCCAGGCAGAGACTGCACTCAGGGAAATTAAATGCAGGAGGAATTAGAAAATCAAATCAACTTCAACATCAGACACAAAAGTAGAAAAGGAAAAAAGAATGAAAAGGAGACATATAGGAGAGAGAGAAGACATCTTGACACCACTGTAAGATGTCATGAACCTTCTCTCAACCTCCCAAATCCAAAGAGCCTTGAACACAATATATTCTGAAAGTGGGTATTTGCCCTCTTACATCAAGATGCAGGTTTGAAGGCTTGTCTCTTTGTGATGTCAGGTTCCTTTTCTCCCAAAGGACTTTATTCCTCGGCTTTCAGCAATTTTCACTGTTGTTCCAGCACAGCACACACACACATTCTGTTTGCCTGCCCTGAATATCCCTCCTTCTGGAGGGATGTGTGGGCTCCTCGAGAGTCTTGTGAGATTGCACTTGATTGGAACTCAAAATGAATTAAAAAATTGGAACAAGCTGCATGAGCTGCTGATCACCTTGCTCTGTTCATAGCCTATGAATGGATCAGTACCACGCCAGGGAGCTACAATTTACACTGGGCTGCAAACTGGTTTCAGGAGCTGATTCACAGCACTGCCACGGCAAAGGAAACCGTCTGCCACGTTGAGTGACCACCAGGCATGGAGGCTGCCAGTGTGCAGATCCCCATCACTTATGCAAGGCTTGTACACTCAGTGTCAGAAGTCTTGCAAGGACACCCCCTAAACAAATGAGCTTGGCTGGCCTGGTGTTGACTGCTGAACCCGGGAACTTCCCACTTACTAGTTTCACAATGCAAAGGAAGTCTTTTATTTCTTGCTGCTGAAGCAGACAGACACTTAAGGAGAGAAGGGCAGGGAGTGGAAAGCCAGCACAGACTAAAAGACAGCTGACACGAGTCTGGAAAGAAAGCAAATACTGCGTCTCAGTCCACTGCTTCTGCTTTCTTAGGGGAACACTACTTAGCCTTGAGCAGCTTTTCTGTGACCAGCTTCTGCTCTTTCACCTGAGGTACTTTTCTGCTTTTTATATGTCCAAACCTACTTTCCTGCTATTTTGGACTGAGCTGTTCTCACTAGATCTAGCCGAGGAATGATGCTCACCATTCAAGGAGATGCGTGGGAGCATGTACTGGAAAAGCCAGAGCTGAGCAGTTTTTCAGTTGCCAGGGAATCCCATCTGAGATCATGTATCAACTCCAAACTCAGTCTGGAAGAGCACGTTAACAGTTCCCATAAGACCAACTCCTTCGCACACACTTCCCAGGCTCCTGGAGATTTCCTTCCACTCTTCATTGTTCAGAGAAGAGTCAGTGACATGAACACTCATCCATCATGAACTGAAGACTTAATTAGAACATTGATATAAAATATGCAAGGCAACACAGTGTGAAATGCTTAGAGAACATCCATCTTGCAAATCCAGCATCATACAGTCAAGAAACAAGGAGGTCAGAGGAGTGAGAGGATGGAATTAGCCAAAGGCCAGACCACAGAATAATACTGGTAGAAACAAAGACAAGTCTGAGTGTTTCACCACGCTGCAGTCAACTTTTGACTCATGGAGCAGTAAAATGAGTAAAATGCCAAATGGCAAAGAGAAAAAGAAGCCTGAAGGCAGAAGTATGGCCTCCCCTGAAAAGAGATGCTATTTTCATGGTATCACCTTGTACATCATGTTGGACGTACCATGTCACATCTCCTCAGTTTGCAAGTCCAAAATTTCTCTTTGCCAGTTGTCAGACCTATGGACTAGGACATAGAAACCAGCTGATATCTCCCCATTAGCAAGACCAGTAATAGATTCTGCAGGTCAAATCCTCCCCAAGTTACTCCTATTCCTCCTACTCCTACTCTTACTTATCCTCACATCAGCCTTGTGTAGGTATTCAGGTGGCCCAGAAACCAGTAAGTACCAAACACTAAGGATGCACAGAACGAAACACACTCTGCCTTATGATCTGTTTTAGCTGTTTTCACTCTAGCTGCCTCTCATGACAAAAAGCAGGAAACATTTGCAGTCACTACTGGTAGCAGGAAGAATTGGACACTGGGGGCAAATCTGCACAGTAAAAAGGTGCCACTTCTCCTTACATTTGTGTTCCAGACAGCAAGAAGACAAGTCACAGGAAACACTAAGGGAAGAGGAAAATTGCAAAAACAGTGAAAGGAAGAAATATATTTTCTGTGGAGTTTAACTGATAGCACCAGACACCCTCCAGCGAATTTAGATGCATTAAAGTGCTGTGCTTTCTTCTGAGTTCTCTGGAGAAACACAGGCTCTTCTAATGAGTTGGCTCCTCTATAATCATGGGGGTTTTATGATGAATAACTCCACCAAGCTTGTGCAAATCTCAATATGAAAAATTATGCTGCAAATACTGTAATGGTTACCCTTATATTTTTCTCCTATTGGAGCACTGAGATACTGACTGCCTTGCTCTGACTCGCAACATGCTGTCTGACATCCATGCAACTCACACTGCACAAGATTAAGTAAAATGCCAAGCAAGACTGTTGGTACACAAATGACACAGCTAACTCTGCAAGGAGCCCAAGGGCAAGCCCAAGCCCAAGGCCCAAGCCCAACAGCATTGGCCCCAAGTCCTGCATCTGGATCTAGAATGAATGGCATAGAGCTGCATGTAGTAAATGCTTCCAGGCCACATAACTTGTGGAGCAATAAAACCTCTTGTTGTTGTGGCTGTGGCAGTGCGGGGGAAGAGCAGAGAGGTGACAGACAGATGAGACCAAGATTGCAGACACATAAGATTGCTATCAGCAATGAGGGTACATCAACAAGATGACAGATGAGGGTAAGAACATCTTGACCCTCTTGGCACAGGGTCCTCATGCTCCCAAGCTCTTCTAGCCCTGCAGGACTACTGGGTGACGCTCAGGATGCCCTGCAGGCTTGCTCTGTCTTCACATCCAACTCCCCTTGCTCCCACAGACTGCTGTGTGAAATGGCATCCTTGTCCCTGAGAACACAGCGCAGATGCTTGGCCATCAAACATGGCATCAGGTTTTAGCGCCTCCTAAAACACGCTAAGGAAGTCTCACATTCACCACCTACTTCTGGTCCTCTCTTTGTAACGTCCACTGTCTCCCATGTGTCTGTGGTGGTTCTTGGATCCCCGAGGGTCCTGTGACCACATGCCAGGAGCCCAGGAAAGCACATCCACAGTCAAGAGGTTTTTGCTATAGGTAATCTGTGATTCTCCTGGAATACTTGCATATGGTTTGGAAATTGCTAAAGGCTGAAAAACACCGTCTCAAGCGACAGTGTTTTGCTCCAGCTTCTATGTAGAGAATATCCATGCTCCTTACACACTTTAAGTTACTGGGTATACCTGTAAGGTTAGTAATTATGATGACAGCCACCTAATACTCACAGTATCTATGACATGAGCTCTAGTGGCCACAGGTCCTTAAACTGTGGAGCACCATGCCTGAAACAATATACCCTGACTTATCTATCAATGTGGGAACACAGACCTGCTGACACTGCCACACAGCCTTCACTTATACTACTAAATGCAGCACAGCCAGAAAACAAATTGATTTACAGCATCACAGGTGGTCAATACTTTAATTGTCAGCACACTGTCTGGCACTGCTGGCCCACGTGACACCCATGACTGCTCCAGGGGACAGGACTGCCACAGGCAGTAAAGACAGAAGGGTACAGGTCTGGTTCCTTCAACAGTGTGCAGTTCTCCCACACCAACAAACCTGGTTTTACTCCTCCAGACGCAGACACAGATTTTCCTGCCACATGCCAGAATATGCAACACAAATCTTCAAACTGATGCTACAAAAATACTGCTGTGATGCTCTGCCATAAGGTCTGGTAGTATCAAAATACTACAAACTGCAGAAAAGATTAAAACAAAACATTATTGCCTTAGGGCCACAGAGGTATCATGTGAGATCAAAAAAGAAGAGAGGCCAAGTTCTGTGTAATGTGGACAGGACTCCTCTGTGCCACTTAGCCCTGTGTTATTTAGCAGTGTAGATGCTGTCATAGCTTCTTAACTTGTCATGTGGCTGTAAGGCATACTCTGTTTGCACTGACTTGCTTACATCAGTGTAGACATACCTTATGTTACATAGAAGTGAAATGATTTGCCCAAGGACTCAGGAAACGTGGCAAAACTACACGCAAGAGGCAGGTGTGCAAACTGCACGTCCCCTGACTTAACCAGCAGACCAAAACATCAGCATCCCCTCTCGGTGTTTTAAATAGGAATACACAGTTTCGTTTCCTCTAGGCATCCACAGTAAACTTCCCCAGTTTGGCAGTGCATTTCTCATTACCTTTCATGATGATATCAGATTTGATTTGTTCCCCAGGGAAGGATTTTCTCCTTGCACCTCATTACCTTCCTTCTCCCTAATCTGATGTTCCTATTTGAAATGCCAGCCAGCATTTTCAGAAGTGTTCTTGACAATGGTTAATTATAGAAGAGTCTGTCAAACTGCACAGATACAGGTCATATAAAGACTGCTGGGGACTTGTTCTGCCCTCTGAAGGAGCAGCCTGCATGGCCTCTCTCTTCCCAGGTTCGAAGGGGGAGAGCCCACTGCCACCCGCTGTGTGGGGTCACTCATCTCCCCCTGCACAGCTTGACAGTCCTAATGGAAGATGAAACTGAAATACTTTGTCATCCCACCTTCTCATCCCTTGCCGCC